TATGTAGAGGCTGAAGGGAGCCCAAGACTGTCTCCCAGCCTCCTCATCTTAGCTCTCCACATCACAGCCACGTCAGCCAGTTCCTCAGCCTTGTACAGGGTTGAAGATGTGTTCGACTTTTTTTTTTTCTAAAAAGGTGAATTCACAATTCCTTCTGTTTGCCGAGCAATCACCTTTTGTGCATGCAAAGACTAAATAGTGCTTTGTATCCCAGTGTGCAAACAGTCACCGGGAACAGTAACTCTAAACATCGACAGCTCTTCAGCTGTCAGGAACCAGGTCTAAACTGTTTTCAACCTCGGTATCTGAGATACATGTGACATGTAAACTTAGGAATAGTGTACCTAATGTCACCATAGTCAAAAACACACTGTGACTTGAGGATTTAAAGGCAACAGATGAGAGAAGGGGCATTTTTTAATCAACTAGAAATGGCATTTTTAAACTACATAGATAATGTTGCCCATCTACAATTATTTGTATTTTATATGATGGTTCTATTGATGTTCAGAGTGCTAAAAATAACTTACTACATTTTGATTGTAGATTTCCTTTAATAGGTTTGATTTTTATAGCTGAATCTCATGAAGTGTTCATAGTTCTAATTATAGGAAATGTTAGGTTCTAAACTTTGAGTAATAATTTGACATTCCATTATCTCAGTGTTTGGAAAATTTATGTTGCAGATGAAATCAGATAATAATATCACATTCCTTTAATTTATCTTTTATCAAAATTGCCTTTTTCCGTGTACAGTTTTTGGGGACAGAGGGTGAAAAATAGAGCTAAGACTTATGAGAAATTAAGGGTTTCATGGGTTGTCTAGGAATAACCAAATCTTATGTTGTTATCAGAAAGAAAAATAGGAATCACTGTATAATATTGTCTATTTACTTTTTATTGGTAAAATGTAAATATTTTAAATTTTGAAGTCCTCCTAATTATACTATAGGATAACTTAAATATTGATTTAATCAAGAAATATGGGCTTTTTTGCATTTGTATATGCATGTGTGTGATGGTTTAAATGAAAATGGCCCCAAAATGTTCATATATTTTGGTCTTCCATTTTTGGAACTGTTTGGGAAGGATTAGGAGGCATGGCTTTGTTGAAGGAGGCATCTCAGTGAGGGTGGACTTTGAAGTTTCAAAAGGCCATGCTATTTCCTCTGCTTCATATTGTGCCTCAAGAGGTAAGCTCTCAGCTTCTGCTCCAGTGCTATGTCTGTCTTCTTCCTGCTGTGCTTCATGACATGGTGGTCACATGCTCTAACGCTCTGAAACTGTGAGTCCCAAATAAAGCCTTCTGTAGGTTGCCTTAGTCATGGTATCTTATGATAGCACTAAAAAGTAGCTAAGACTCTGTGTGTGTGTGTGTGTGTGTGTGTGTGTGTGTGTGTGTGTGTGTGTACATTTAGGTATATGTGTGTGGAAGCCAGATGTTGATGCCAAGTTTTGAGATAATGTATTACCCTGATCCCAGGGTTCACAGATTTAACTAATCTAGCTAACAAGCCAGCTCCAGGGTATACACACCAGTCTCTGCCTTCCAAGAGTTGGGATAACAAACATGTACCACAAGGCCAGGCACTTACACATTTTAGGGACCTGAACTCCATCATGCTTGCATGGCAAGCATTTTGCTGAACGAGTAGCATCCTAGCCTAGAAAACACAGAATTCTTAAATATGAAGTACCATGATGGCTGTTATTAGGGACTTGGTTTGGATTCTTTTGTTTTGTTCTGTTTTGTTTCATAATTTGGATTAAAATAACCCAATTTTTTGATTTATTTCCTGAAAAGAATAAATGAAGTCAGAGTTACTTTAAGGTAATCAGAGGTCTAACTCTGTCACGGGACTTTCAGAGCCTTTAATCTGTATCTTGACATTTTAAATATTAGTAGAAACATAGTAATCAAATTGATGGGATAAAGTTATAATTCTTTTCCATTTCCTTAGCAGGAATCTGTGAGCTGGCTTTTTTAAGAGTTTGAATTTAAAATAGAGGTATCTCCAAATGGAATGCCTTTTGAAATATTTAACATAAGTCTTTGCCACTTTAAAAATAAAAACATTTTAAAAATACAAATTATATTTAATGATGAAATGATCTTTTTTATAGAAGGAGTAAGCACAACCCTTGAGTCTGAGGCTAGAGATCCAGTCGTTACAAGTGTTTATAGATCACCCAAAAGACCTGCGCCACCTCTAACTCCAGCGCTCAGGGCTCTGCTGGCTTCCTCTGGACTCCACTGGAAGCATCATGTGTTCTCACACTGCCTTGGCTGTGAGCTACAGAAATTCATGTGCTGAGTTTTCCCTTACCTGATCCCAGCCAGAGGGTAGCCTCCGAGGTTGGATAAAGCTCCTTTTTGGACTTCCAGCAGGGCTTTGGAATAAGCACCAAGCCAGCTGGAGCCACTATTTGTATCCTAAGGTCCTACATGTAAGCTTAGCTCCTGTACACTCAATCTCCTAACACTGCCTCCAGTCTAATAGTTTCTCATGTTGTGGTGACTCCCAATCATACAATTAATTTTGTTGCTGCTTCGTAACTGTAATTTTGCTACTGTTAGGAATAATAATATAAATATATGATATGCAATTCCTGTGAAAGGGTTGCTTACCCCCCTCCCCCCACAAGGGGTTTTGGCACACAGGTTAAGGACCGCTGCTCTACAGGTACGCTATGGCTCATATCTCCCTGCCTGGATTCTCACTGAGATTTTTGGCTAGGCAGATTGCTCTCTAGAGATACAAGCCACGTTAAACATGGCACAGATCTTTGTGAGCCGACATTGGGTTTTGCTGGTAGACTGTCATTGGCTAGTGTCTGGTTAGGTACCATTGCTATCAGGAGCACAGCTGCTGCTCAGACCTCTCCACTGGCAGCTCTGAGCTCTACTCCCTGTTTCTGTTTTACTCCAGAGTCCAGCCCTGTGGTACTTTGAGGTAGAGTGCACCTGGCCATGAACGCTAGGGAAGCTGGATGTCTGCTTCTTGTTCTGTCCTTGGAACTTGTGGGGCAGACAGTTTTCCATCTGGTGCTGTGCCAGGAACAGGAGGAATGTGTACTCTCAGGGTAGCAATAACTTTCTGGGGTAGTTGAGTTTTCCATGGGCTCGTCTCACCTGTGAGCAGTTTACTAGTTGTGACTTTCGGATAGTGAAGCCTAAGACTTCTTGCTGACCTCAAGTCTGAAAGCTTTCTATGTGCCTGACATAACTGTGAATGCTTAAGCGTGTGCTGTTCTGTGGATGACTGCAGAGCTTTCCTTATTGAAACTCACAGCTTTGACCTAGTAATGAAGACAGTATATCCACACAGAGGACTCACAGTGATGCCTCCAGGCAAAAGGAAAACCACCCCAGCAGCATTTTCAGGATTCATTACACTGAGGTCCTGAACTTCTTCAGCATGGAACACTGACATGATTTTGGCTTTGAACATTCTCAAAGTAATGTAGCAAATTCTCAGTGTGGCCACAGGAAGAATTAGGAGGTTCCTGGCCTTCTGGTAGCAGACAATAAAAATGAACACTATTTCCCAATAATTAAAAAACTCAATCACAAAACAGTGTTATTTGATGAGGCTGTGCCTTAGTTTCCTTTTACTGTGATCAGATGTCAGGACAAAAGCAACTTGGAGAGGAAGGATTTGCTTCCTTTTTCCCATTTACACTCCATCACTGCAGGACAGCTAAGGTGACAGGGACTTGAAGTAGTCACATCACACCCTCAGTCAACATTGGTGAACAGTGCTTGCATGCCAGTGCAGGCTGTTCTGTGAGGTGCTGCTGCCTACATATAGGGTGTTCTTCCTCATCAATCTTTGCCATGAATGCCCACAGCCAACCCAGTCCAGACAGTCCCTCAGTGATGCTCCTTCACTGGTGATTCTACATTGTATCAAGTTGATATTCAAAGATAACCATCATAAGCAGTTTAGATCCAAATGTTTTTTAGGTAGGGTAGGTTGTATTTGTAAGATTATTACTATAAGGACGTTTCCTTAATATTTTTGGATCCAACAAGAACCTGTTGAGCACACTCTCCTGGCTCTTGATATAAATGCTCTTAGTGAAAGGAAGGGAGGGGTCGCCCTGTCTCACATAGACCTGCTGCCTTCATACACTGACACAGTTAAGATGCTGAGGAAAGAGAGCAGGATACAGGGCTGTCTCCATGGCTCCTATCAGTCATCTGTCTGATCTGCCAACAAGTGTGGCTGCTGGCTGGCTGCTCAGGTGAGCCTCTAAAGCCAACCACAGACTCACTAGCTCATCCATAAGAACTCGGAGACAAAGGCAGCACATCATTCCTGCCCAGATTTTGACACAGAATGGTCAAGAATTGGTAGTGAAGTAGATTGGCCTTCCTCCCACTCCAATGAAATTGTGGAAGTGAGACTCGGAACTACAGTGTGTAGAAGGGAACTAGCATAAATTACTGGAGTAATCAGCAAAGTATAAGCGCCATTTAGAAAGGCTATATAGAAATGGTTGAGTTCATTCATATTAGATTATAGCCCAAAGAAGGGATTTAGATAAGGTGAAAGCTTCAAGGTCAAGCTAAGAATCTGTTATTTACACCAATGTGAAGGTTTTGCTTTGTGCTTATTGATTTTACCCTGTTAATTAAATTACCCTAGAGGAAATTTTGCTGCCAGTGAAGTAACATCAGATCCACAGTGTTGGGTGCTGAAGAAAGAGCTTAAGATCAGGCCTTGGGGCTGAATGTTGTTTTTTTAATGGGGCGTCAAAAGCCTATCTAGGGCTGGAGGTCATGGTGCACACCTTTTATCTCAGCTCTTGGGAGGCAGAGGCAGAGGCAGGTGGGTCTCTGAGTTCTAGCATAGTCTACAGAGCAAGTTCCACGGCTACATAGAGAAACCATGTCTCAGAAAAAGAACAGGAATATTCCAGCAGAATGATTCCCCTACCAGATCATCTCTCAGTGCTGAACCACATGAATTAAATAACTCTGCTTTTCCTTCTAGACCCTTGCTCTTCCAGACAAGTGAACATGTGGCGGACAGTCCAGCAGTGGGAGACATTATACCATTCAGCATCATCATTCAGTTTCTGTTCACAAGAGCACCAGCTGAGCTGAAATCCCCCTTCCAGGTAATGAAGACAGGGTGGCCTCTCAGGCAACTTTGTAAGTAAGTGTCCTCACGGAGTGGGTTGCTAGCTCCCTCCTGCTTTATCTAGTTTCTGATGTCTCTCTGAAAGTGAACAGAGATGGAAGAAAATTCCGGTGCCCTGCATGTGTTTTATTGGCAGGCAGTCTAAAATTTACTTCTTGAGTCCAGAATTAGCTCTTTAAAAAAGTCTCAACGTACTATAGTATCCAATGTCTGTAATCTTAGCATTCAGGAAACTGAGGCTAGAGGATTGCCATGAGTTCCTTGCCTGCCTGAAATACAGAGTGAGACCCCGTCTCAAAAATCATCACAATCCTGCTGGGTGTAGTGGTGCACGCCTTTAATCCCAGCGCTCGGGAGGCAGAGGCACATGATCTCTGTGAATTCAAGGGCCTGGTCTACAGAGTTCCAAGACAGCCAGGGCTACATAAAACCCTGTCTCCAAGAAACCAAAAACAAATTAAAAAAACAAAACAAATCAAAAAACCCATCATCATCAAACAAATAATTTTTATTCATGATTCTCTGTTGATTGAGGCTTGCTTGTCTGTCTGTCTGTCTGTCTGTCTGTCTGCCTGCCTGCCTGCCTGCCTGCCTGCCTGCCTGCCTACCTACCTACCTACCTACCTACCTACCTACCTACCTACCTATCTATCTATCTATCTATCTATCTATCTATCTATCTATCTATCTATCTATCTATCTGACATGGGGCCATGTCAGCAGATCTTAAGAGTTTTTGGTAATCAGGTGCTTGAAGCCCTGTGCCACCTTCTGGACTTCCTTCAGGAAGTGTGAAGATCATTTTACCCATAGACATGAGTGCTTTTTGTGTCAGTATTTGCCACCATTTGCTGAAGAATGTGCTTTTTTTTCTGTGTTGCAACCCTGCAGAGGGCAGAATGGTCCCATGCACGCTTCTCCCAGTGGCTGGACGATCATCCATCTGAAAAGGACAGGCTCCTCCTCCTCAGGTAATGCTGTGTGTTGTGGGGGGTGGGGGGACGGCACAGGGAGGCCCAGGAGAATAGACTGCAGGGATGGGTGATGAAGGAGCAGCGCTTGTGTGGGCATGTACACACTTGTGTGTCTCCAGGTGGCCACTTCATTGCATAGGCATTTGCATGTTGGATCCCTCTGTTGTGTACTGCTGGGCACAGGGACTACCTGATCTTTCCAGACCTTCTCATCCTCAGGTACCAGTATCTGTGCCAGTATTTGCCGCCATTTGCTGAAGAGTGTACTTTCTTCACTGTGTTGCAACCTTGCAGAGGGCAGAATGGTCCCATGTACACGTCTCCCTGGTACAGCCCTAAGGGGCATGAGCTCCAGTTTTAAAACAATGTCACTTATGAGAGGATTCACTTTGGCTCTGTATCTGTGTTGCTTCCATGTGCTGCAGTCACTGACATGCTGGCACTCAGAGTGAGTGAACTTTGAACAGTGACAGTTCCTGGTAGGAAAGGGTAACTCAGAACCTGCTTAGACAGCACACATTCCCTGGTTGTGGTCCATGGATATGCTTCAGTATGCACTGTGCTCAGGAGCCTGTGTGCATCTCCAGCCATGAGCATGGTGCATGCAGCTCACTGAGCGTGCTTCTTCCATTAACACTCCCCTCTGAAACCATGCTCAGAAAGCATCACCAGAGAGCTCCTCTCCCAGCTGTCTTGGTCAGCTGACTCAATTTTATTGACATGTGATCCCCCTTTCCTGACGCTTCCCTTGTTTCTGATTGAACCTTTCTGACTTCTTCCCGTCCATTCCAGCTGCTGACTTGCTTCTTTTGGTCCATTTGTTAAATGTCACGGTCCACATCTGTTTCTAGTTTTGTTGTACCCAGGTGAGTGGTGCAGACACATGCCTCTTTCAGACACACACACACCTGCCACCCTCCCTCTCAACAGGCCCAGGTATGGAACTCACTTGCATGGGGCCTTCGGCCAGCAAACTTGCTGTCAGACACCTGCATTCAAACATATCACAGAAATCATAACCCCCAAATGTTTTCATTTAATCATCCCACACACACCCTATATTCCTTGATGCCGTCATGGGAGGCCACCATCACCAAACCAGCCACACTTGAAGACGAGTAAATCGTCAGTCAGCTCCTGTCCACTTGGTTCTGATTCCAGTTAGCATTGCTCTAACCCCTGAATCCATTCTCTACCCTGTCAATCTAGGTGTGTGGATGAGGCAGGCTAGCTAGCTTATTTGAGCCTCAGTGCAGGACATGAGGAAGGTCATTCTCACTTATGCACAAACATGTGACGGTGGTGACCAGGCTTCTACTGTTCCTTATCTTTCCTCACTAGGAAGCTGACCCATAGAAGGGAAATGCTGAGAGGTGAGCTTCCTGTCAGTGTTCAGCCCTAGTTAAGCCTGCGTATGGAAAAAGCTTAAGATGTAGTCAGGAAATTTGCGATGTCTCTGTGGCTTCTTTTCTGACCCCCAAGTATGTACTCAGCCTGAGTTTTCCAATTTACATTATCAATATATTTGATAATAGGAAACGATTCATCAGACCTCCATTTTATCACGTTAAGGCCTTAAAATGAGTTCATCCACATGGCTGACTTGCTGTGGGTTCGTGATCACAAATCTCTTTTCTTCTGCTTCTTTTTAAAATTGTCTCCTGGGTGATCTCATCATTGATGCTGTTGCTAAGCTCACATTTAGCAAGTGAAAGCCATACTCATGAATACTTCCTAGTGTCAGTCTCTCCCCCCCCCATACACACACACACACACACACACACACACACACACACACACACACGGCAGATCTCAGAACCTTGCTTGCCTGGGGGATCCACAGAAACTGTACTGCCATAGCACCCTGCCTCTTTTAGACTTCATTAGAGCCCTATGGTACTTTAATCCATTGTTACAGAAAACACTTGGAACCATAGGAATCCTTGGACCCTCAGCCAGCTTGCCGTTGTCTAGGACCCATAGGCTAGGTCTTACTTTCTCAGCTTTTCTGTTTCTAAAATCTTTTAGTACTAATCACAGTGAAGTTTCTAATGCCTGACAAATTGTTTATAAAACACCCACTTGGTGTGACCTATTAACCCAGACCAATCCTTTAGTATTAAACCCATTGCCTTTTCCTCTGTCAGGGTAACTTTAGCAATCTTGCTTGGTTACAAACCTCTTACATAATGCTTGGCCTGCCTTCCAAGAAAGCTAATGTTTTCCTGAAGCAAATGAAGTAATTTAATAAATGCTTGAAAATCCTGCTCTGATTTTATGTAGGAGGGCAGCTTAATCTGTTTTCTCACTGTCATTCTAATGGTGTTTCTGATGAATATCAAGAGAAAAGAAAAATCTAACTAAACTTATTTCTGAGCTTCCTTCAATGTAATGTGTAATTTATATACTTAGCCCTGAAAATGCAAAGGAAAGAGTGTTTTTTTAAAGTGTATTTTGTAAATAGAATAGTGTGCCCACTATGGAACATTAGATTTTCCACTTATTTCTTAAGATTGGCAAATGTACGTGTGCGCACACCCCACTGCTTCAAGATGGTTGAGCCCTTTTCTCAGCCTGGCCTTAAAACATTTGTAGAGTTGGGGCAACTGCCTGAACTGGTATGCCAACTGGCAAAGAAACCATTTTCTTCTAATTTATTCAAAAATATAAAGAAGTAACTCCCTAAGGGTTGGCTCTGATACCCGGTTGGAACATCCCACAAAATGATGTTAAGAACATGGACTTCTGTCTGGTAGTTAGAATTACTGATTAATGGGACTTGGGGCTAGGCGCATGGCCAGAGTAACAGAATTACATCTTATTTGAGAAGTTGGCTTAGTAATGGCCCGCCCATGCTTCCACATAGCTAAAGGATGCACTCACTCATATCCTGAACACAGCATGAGGCCGACCTTCAGGAATTTCAACATGCTGGATACTATACAGTTGGGATTATATTCACATCTGTGTGACTCCAGGGTCATTTTGACAGAGGAAATTTTTAAACCTGAGTCCCAAACGATAAAGAGCTGTCCAGGGAGAAAGTATGCAGACAGATGATAGAGAGAACGCATGTCTTTAACTGAAGGCTATGTGCATGGTCAAAACCAAACAGGCCCTCTGCTAGCCCCTATCTGAAGAAGAAATATCCTATTTCAGAGCAGGAAAATATCTTGATTTCTTCCCAATGGCCTTAGCTGCAGCAAATGAAGTATAAACTTCATTTGTGGGTCTTCTTCAGGCTACATCAAACTGAAGCATAAAGAAGCATAAAGGGTTGCATGGTTACTTCCAACAAAGCTGGCTTGTTTGGGTACCTCCTCTTTCAAACAGTGAATAGAGGTGGTATTAGAGAGCCAGTACCAGGATGACCACCTCAGAGACCCAGCCAGCAGCTTAGAAACAAAAGCTAGAAAGCACTTGAACTGAAACACAGTTGTGGGCAGGGGGCCTAATGTGGAAATAGGTGGGGTGAATTTGAGAACCTTGTAACTGATTCCTTATAGAAGAGAGTTTGAACAGAACTAGTTCCCTGGGCTCAATGAAGAAAAGAGGAACAGAGCAATGCCAAGCATTTGTTAGATGACCGAACAACACCTAGAAGCAATGTTACTTAAAATGTCTAGAAGACAGATGGACCCAAGTAAAGAACGTATCTGAACAACGTTGACTATTTCCAGTGTTTGGGAATAAACAAAAGAATTGCTAAATGGGGTGTGTACTATGTGCTCACAACAGTGGCAATTTATTTTTATAAAGGAGGACAAACCACTCTTAGCTTCACTGGATGGACATACACAAGTTTTCCCATGGAGACCACTGATGTAGCCTTGTAGCTGCCCCTACAACTCTGCTGTGGTGGTGGGGAAACCACCCTAGGTGTAAAGGAACAAGCCAAGGGCCATGAATGTTGCTGCCATTTGCTGACTCCTGTCCCCAGTGCAAACCAAAGAACATTACCAAAGCAACACATAGACGTACTTAACTAAGTTCAGACTTCCCATCACGAAACCTACCAAAAATTAAAACCCCGAAAATGCCGTAGCTGTAGGCTGCTCTGTTACTGTGTGTGCCAAATGTCCACCTGAGCATGTGTCCAAGATGTTTTCTCACCTAGCTGAGCTCTGGGGAGACACAAGCTATGTCCATACTTTGATGTGCCTTCAGGACAGAAAAAATCACATACTGAAATGAGACTAAAATTGGCCATAGTGACCCACCCAGCTGGCATAACTACTGTAGCTCAAATGTTCTAACGCATGTTCGAAGGCTGCGGATACTGGCCTGTGGCACCAGGCTATTCCAGGAACAGATGGACTTGTTGCCATATCGGTGCTACCAAAACTGTTGGACTCACGACAGTTTCCTTTTGCACTTACAGGGGAGCCCTGGAAGCTTATGTTCAATCAGTGAGAAGCAGGGAAGGCAAAGAGTTCGCACCAGTGTACCCCATTATGGTTCAGCTGCTTCAGAAGGCTATGTCTGCTCTTCAGTGACCTGCAGTCTCCGCGCAGACCTGTCCACAGGTGGCAACTGAAGAGCATAGTTGATTTCCGTGATTCCTATTGATTTTTCTTTTACCTCTAGCACTTTTACTTCAAAATGTCAAAATAGATCAATCATCACAACCTTCAAATGCATACATGGTTTTTTTTCATAAAGGTTTTTTTCAAAAATGTTTTCCTGTTTCAGATTTTGGAGGAAGGCTATTTTATTTGCTGTCATGCAGTTGATTCCCTATTATTTGCACTTCAATCACCTGCTTTCCCCCAGCCTGCCACTTTCTTTAGTGTTAAGCACTGTGAAAGAAGTCACATCAGCAGGGCGTTCACGAGTATACACCTGACAGAGCAGCCCTACCCCACAGTGATTCGGACATGCAGTCAAGCCCAGTAACTATGGCCGAACCCAAAGCTGAGGCAGACACAATGCTAAATGCTCTTTACTGGATCTAACTACAGCTTTAAATGAAGCCAGGGTTTCTTTACACTGTCATTTCACTAAAAACAGGCACTCAGGGCTTTGCAACAGGTTGATTTCCTTTCTACAAAGATTTTCTATAAAGAGTAATATAACTCCTTATTTTTCTATTGTCTTTACTCCATTATTAACATTCTTTAGCCGGGCAGTGGTGGCGCACGCCTTTAATCCCAGCACTTGGGAGGCAGAGGCAGGCGGATTTCTGAGTTCGAGGCAGCCTGGTCTACAGAGTGAGTTCCAGGACAGCCAGGGCTACACAGAGAAACCCTGTCTCAAAAAAACAACAACAACAAAAAAAATCTTTAATTTTTAAAACTCCACCAGCAACCTACTTCCATCTACTGATCAGATTATACTGATAGCTATACATAAATTCAGTCAATCAGAAATCAAAGATAGACCTTTTTTTTTCCTTTTATTTGAAATAATATACAAGAATATAGTGTGCAAAATTGAGGGGCAATAAAAGTGTAATGAACTGAAATCAATCTTATAGCTGTGATTGCTAACCAAAAATACCACTTGGTAAGTAACATGAGAAGCCATGATTGTAGCTCAGAGCAAAAGCAGCTGTCCTGCCAAAGTACTTGCTCTATTTTAGAAGCCGGAGGGAGTAAAGTGCAAGTGTTGCACTGCAGTAAGTGCAAAGTCTGCCCCCACCATAGAGAGACAATGACAACAGAGATGTGGGATATGTGGCTGAGGGGACAGGGAACGGTGAAATACAATGGTGTCGACTGATAACAGCACCATTACAACGACTGTCCCAATGCTACTAACTGACTGCACCTTGGCCTGGCTTGGGCCCCACTGGATATCATGGAGGTGTGCTGCCCCCTGGTGCATCCACTCAGCACACGTCCGTGGTATCTGAAGCAGGTGGCTCTTTGAGCTGAGACAATGACACCATCCACCTGCCATGTCGCTTGGCACTGGCCAGACTAGAAGCAACTGTGTTTGGCAGAGATGCTGGGCCATGTGGTGGCTATTCATGGAAAGGCCAGCTTCTGCTTCATTCCTGATATCATGGGTACAATACAGATTAATAAGCAGTAAGGAGCTGATGTATAAACAGCAGTTACATATTTTTAAATTCCCCTTCGTACAATTTAAAATAAAACATGTATACACATCTCTTTCTACTGTACTTTAGCACCACAGGATATCAATTTTCAAGCCTATATTACCTGATAGACATATATGAAGTTTGGAAGGAAAATAAGGCAATTTGGTTTACAATGTTGATAGTTGTAGCTTACTTAATGCTCTAATGGAGAAAGCAGTCCTCACCCACCATTAAATCATTACAGAACTCAATGCTCCCAGCATGTTACGGTCACACAAATGTAGGACAAACGGTGAGACCAAGGTCGTCTTCCAAGCTTTTCCATCCAGAGTCAGTACTTATGCAGATACAGACTTAGAAACAGAAGCATCAGGTTTAATGCTGTTGAGAGCCCTGTGAAAACAAAATAGTGAATGCTTACAAACACTATGCAGTAAGTAACCCTGGAGACTACGCTTGGATGTTCATGAATTCACTGGAAGATTCTCACTTTCCTAATGGCTCATGGCTTGAGTGTCTGGAAACTTTAAACAAATGTGAGACCAACACGCACAGAAAAGTGGTAATGTCCCAAATGAAGTTCCAGACAGAGAATTTGTGGGGAATGGGTATGTGACTCTATAGGTATAGCTTGCATTCAAGCACAAAGCCTTGGGTTCAAACCCCTGTACTACATAAAATTGTATATCCAAAGCAGAAGGCAGCAAGACCAACTCTTGAACCTGTCCTGAGACTTTAAAGTACATGGCTGCACTCACACAAACATGTATACATACATGAAGCCTGATGGTTGTATTGCATGCCTATAATCCCTAAATTAAGGAAGCAGAAGGATCAGAAGTTGAAGGTCATCCTTGGGTACAAAAGTAAGTTTGAGGCCAGCCTGGGCCACAGGAAACCTTGACTCACGCACACATACACCAAAAAAGCACAAAACAACTCTCTACATTATAGTCCAACTACTTCTGGCAGCTGACTCCTACTTTAAAATAAATCCCTGAGCCATTTAACCTATACATCATATAGGATTGGCTAAAACACCCTTAATACGCCTTCTTCCTAATAACTGTTTACATCATCTTCATTTTACTCATTCTAGCCTATCGTATATATTTTGTGCTAAATAGTCTAAAACCTGAACATAAAGGATGATAGTCAAGTAAAGAACAGTTATAAAAATGGAGTCTACCAACCAAGACAGCACTGTGAAACTTCATTCCCATCCTCCTATTTCTTCAGATTCTTAACCTAGTTATTTCTGTCAGTAGCAGAAATCTGCAAGGCCATTACTAAGTCAGAGGCAAGCCACCAAAAATTAGATTTTCTACTGTAATGAGTTAATGGTGTCCATCTTAACCATATTAGTACACTCTAAAACTTCCTCAGTATTTGGTACATTCTTCAGCTAGCTTGAGATATCTGCTTGCTGTATTACCCAAGTGGTTGTTGATGACAGGAAAGGCAGACTCCACTATTAGGTCTGAAGTATAGTAACTGTGAGGAATCTTTAAAGCTCTGACACTGCATCATGAACACAAGGACACACAGAGTATGACATCAGGACAGGTACTGCTAACACTTACTGAATTTGTTCTTTTCCTTTTCCAACAGTCAGGGTTTAAACGCTTTTGTTCTTCAGCCAAAGCCTTCGCTTCTAATGTGTACATCCTCCTTTCCTCGTTCTTCATTTTCTTCCACCTGTCACCAAGGATCACGCTTATGGCTCTGCAAAGTAAGTATTTACATCATGTAAGTTTTCATAAAATGTGCAGCAACTGCTGCTACTTCAGGCAGAAATGTAGAAAAACAGAAGGGGAAAGATCAAGACTATCATGGACAACCCAACAAAATCCTGTCATGTGCATGAATTTACCAGAATCTTGGTGGAATCATGACAGTATTTACAATTGTTCTAATACATCCAAAATTGCCAGAAAATCAGCTGTTTTCCAAAGGAAAGCTCAGTGTCAGCAGCATGAGGCGTTCAGTTTGTATTAAAAACCTTCTTTGTGTGCACAGCTAATCAAGCTATTGTGGTTATAACAATAAATTCCCACACACAGTGCAAGCCAAGTGAGAGAGACTGTCTTTGCCTTAGGACATCAGATTTATGTCTAGTGATTTTTTTAAAAGTACATGTTATGTCAGATTTGTACTTAACAAATGAGACACTGAATTAAATCAAAATGGGCAGGAGGGACTCAAAGTTGATAGGACACACTACTTACAAACCTGAAACTATTTTCCTGTTTTCCTAGTCATTCAGATACCAAAACTATTAATATACATTATTAATATACATTGAGAATATACATATAGGTATCACTTTCCTTCTATGATTAACAAGAGACTCCAGAGGTAAGTGCAGTCTCTGTATTTACTGATCAAGAAGATACAGACACTGATGCTTCAGGGACACAGCAGCCACACTAAAGTGTATATTAAGTGTATCTGTCTTCTGAGGTCTAACAAATCAAACAACTGGATATGCTGTATTTTACTTAAAATCGACTTACATATATTTCTGGTTAAAGACAGCATGTAATGCCTGACATAATAGACATACACCAGTCTCAGTCCCCCAGAGTTAGAATGTTTCGAATGGGGTGTTGACACATGCTTGTTTTCTCTGTACTCCTGCCTCACAAGTTTCAACCTGACATTTATATGCCAACTGGCCTAATAGCTCTCTAAGCCTACATTCTGCCTCTAATCAAAAAACTTCCTTATTCAGGGAATAAAGATCCACCTCTATAGAAAAAAAAAAAAAATCCAAACTATTTTTTTTTCCAATGAATTTGGAAAAAGGTCCATCTGACTCGTTTCCCATTAGATGACTACTAATGTGTCACTCACATGGAAAAATACGAAAATGCACAGGAAAGTAAGAGTTATGAGTTATAGGGGAGGTTTTTTTTGATAAATAGATCCTAAAATAGAAAAACAAGAAAGTGAAAATGAGACATCTAAAGGAAAGTCCTTTCCTCCAAAAATTAAAGTAAACCCAGAGTCTTATTGGCACTTACTCCAGTGTTTACAAAGTCTTTTTAATATGACACAAGAACACTACCATTTTCTAGATATCATAGGACATATTTAATAACCAAGTACCAGACAGGTGTGAAAAGAGAAAACACAGGCCACATCTGTCAGGAAGTCTCCAAGATGACTTCCACAGAAAGAGGGGTGAGGGAGAGTGGACCTAAGTCATTCTTAAAATGCTTTTAAATTTCAGAAGTATGTTTTCTGCTAAACTGTAATATTTTCCTGACCAGACACTATTCCAACGTTAATTAAAAATAAAAATTACAGGGTCTCACTACTTAGCCCTGGCTACCCTCAATTCCAGTTCTAAAAAAATAACCAAATACTAGGACAAGGCTATTCTGTAAAAACACATCAACTCTTAAAGATACAATGTTCTTTCTAAATGTAGGTAGTATTTAGAATTATATTCTTTGAGAGGCTGGAGACCTAGCTCAGTAGTTAAGAACACTGATTGCTCTGCTCTTCCAGAGGACCTAGGTTCATATCCTGGCACCCACATAGCAGCTCACAACTGTCTGTAATGCCAAGATCTGACACTCCCACGCAGACAAACATGCAGGGAAGGCACCAATGCACATAAAAAATTACATCCTTTAAACATTCTTTAAGATATTACAATTTGAATTGAAAATACAGTCCATTTATAGTGTTTTTACTTATGATCCCAAGGACAAAGGAAATGGTAACTCTGATTCTCAGAAAAATAGGAAGATTGCAAGAAGGTACCTTTAGCACACAGAGTACAAAACTGAACTCAGTAACTGATGCTGAGCTATAAGAAAGGCTATAGCAAACAGGACTGACCTTCTACTGGCTAAGTTTTGACAAATCTTAGGTAAACTGTCAATGTCCCACAGTGAGGCTCGAATATAAAACCCACCAAATCAGGCCCAAGAAATTTACCTGTACAAAATTAATGTTTTCAAAGGGAGTGTATAGTATAACCTATGTACTATAAAAAGAAACAATATATATAAAGACAACGGAAGAAAATAGAAAGAAATCAACAAAAGCTATTGAAGTTTCTTTTTGCACGCACAGTTACTGTGAACTGCCCTGACAGGTTAGTAATTTTAGTTATTACTATTTACCTGTTATCTTTCCCTGGATACATCTGAGTATATTCAACTCTGTATTTTTTGGCAAAAAGCATGAAGGCATTCATTGGTCTTTTGCACTTATTAGGAGAAGTGGCACTCACAGTCCCTGAGCTGTGGCTTTTGACAGCTTTCGCATACAAAGAACTAGAAGAGAGCTGTGATGCTCCAGGTGAAGCACAGCTTTTACTGAATTCAGATCCCGCCAACTCTTGACCAGCCCCAGGTCCTCCACACGACAGAGACGCACGGCGCTGACGAGCCATACTACTC